GGCTCCCCGTGCGCTGGGGGCCCACCCTCCGGGAGCCAGCAGGCAGAAAGCTATCCAGCCCGAAGGCTGGCGCTCCCTAGGGCGAGTAATCTAGTAAAGAAAATAACCCTAATGAATGGAGGATGGGGCAATAGAGGCATATATTTAAGAGCTTCCTTGATTTGCTTTAATTTTTCTCATCATTTTAAGTTTTTTCTCATGGAAATATTCAAGTATCTAAATTATTATTTAAAATACTTACATCTTTTTTGTTTCCATTAAATTTTTAATATCCTTCAGTGGACACGTAAAATTATCTCTGTTAATAAGTACCTTGTGGTGTTTACGCACGTGTGCATTGTGTGCCATACACCTGCCTTTCAGTGGCTCTGTGTTGGTCTGTGATGAATATACTCTGAAATTAGATAGTTTCCTATCGTTGAGTATTTATTCTTTTCCCGAGTTTTCTTTAAGTGAGCCAATAAAAATCTTTGTACATAAAGTTGTGTTTTGCTGGTTATTTCCCTGTGATCACTTTCTACAAATAAAACTGATAGGTCAAAGGGTATAGAAACTTTTAGCTTTCGTGATGTGTATTTCCAGACAGCCAGAAAAGGAACCAGTGCATTTGCTAGCAGTAAGTGGGAGTCTGCTTGGCCAGCCTCCCCTAATGTGAGTATTGATGAGAGACTTAAGACACTTCTAAAAGCTTTTTTTTTGTTTTTGTTTTTTTTGGTTTTTCTCCGGTACCGGGAACCGAACTCACGATCTTGTGCTTGCCGGGCAGGCGCTTTGCCACTGAGCTAAATTCCCAGCCCCGACACTTCTAAAAGCTTTGCTAGGATCTTTGATTTAAAAATGCCAAGGATAAAAAAGCTTTTACGCATATTGTTTACCATGTCATGAATTCTTTGTTTTACAGGTACACCATCGTGTTTATTTATTATGCATTCTGCTTGGTGTTGATGATGCTGCTCCGTCCCCTTCTTGTGAAGAAGATCGCGTGTGGGTTAGGGAAGTCTGACCGATTTAAAAGTATTTATGCTGCACTTTATTTCTTCCCCATATTAACTGTGCTGCAGGCAGTTGGTGGAGGCCTTTTATGTGAGTTTGACTCATTATTTTGTTATTACCTGATTTTCTCTGAACTTCATTTTGCAAATTTAAAAAAAAATTTTATTTAGATCCTTGAAAATAAGCTTTAGTATATACTTTTGCTAAACCATGTAAATCTTAGAGTGGAATAGAGATTCTCAAGAAATTATGGGCAGCTACTCAAAACTGATTTGCTAGGAGAAGGCCTTATATTTGAAACTCATAACCAAATTGAAAGATTTTTAAAACTTTAGATGACAAAAAGTAAAAAGTTTTTTGCATATGATTTATGGAAATTAATCTTGACATATTGTTCACTATTAAACAGTAGTTTCTTAGATTTCTTTATTCCGCTCCCCCCAGTCCTGGGGCATGAACCCAGGGCTTTCACCCTGAGCTCTGTCCCTAGCCCTTTTTTAACATTTATTTTGAGACAGGGTCTCAGTAAGTTGCTGAGTTGCCCAGGCTGTGGTCAGACTTGCAGTCCTCCTCCCTCAGCCTCCCAGAGTGCTGCCTGCTTGGGTTATAGATTTCTGAGGTCCTTTTTGAAAACCTTTTGTATGGAGCAAAATAGTGTCAATTTAGTCTTCATTTATTCCATCCATTCATTTATTCAGCAGCCTTTTAGACTGAACTGTGGCTCCAAAGAATAAGTCCCTATTCAAGGGCTCACATACCACTAGGAAATAAAGTAGGGAAGCTCAAAATAACTGAGGGGACACTTTTGAGTATGTAGAACAGGCAAGGCTGTCCTTTAGAAGACTGCAGAGGGCCAGCCTTGTGGCTTACGGGACTGAGGCAGGGTTGTGATATGTATTTCCGAACAGCCAGAAAAGGAACCAGTGCATTTGCTAGCAGTAAGTGGGAGTCTGCTTGGCCAACCTCCCCTAATGTGAATATTAATGAGGAGGCCTAAGACATGCTATGATGCACATAACGTGTCTGGGTGTCATTTGGTTCAAGGTAAGGGGGGCACTCAAAGTAAGGCCAAGGCAAGAGAAAATTGGAGGATAGCCAGGGGTTAGTTTTCCTTTGTATTCCAGCTCGCAGAAGAAATATTCTGTTTGGCTGCATGGTAACTGGAAATCTGTATTCGCCCTAGCTGCTACCGTTCTGTTAGATTTGGGCCCCTTCAGTTATTTTCCAGCCTGGCTGCCTCTGTATGCATTGGAGGGTGTTCCTCTTGCTCTAGGAGATAGAGAAGTAATAGCAAAATAATATAGGTGGGAGAGTGACATGATCAGGTTTGTATTTTAGAAGGAAAATGGCCAGTGGAAAGTGGATTATGAGAGGAAGAAAGCTTGGGAGATCAGTTAAGAGATTATTGTATGAACCCCACCTGATCTAAGGCAGAGATGCACGGAATGAGGAGCTGTTTCAAAGGTAGGGTTCACTAGAGTAGGTAGCGAATTAAATATCTGGGTTCAGGAAGTGAAACAGTAACACTAGAGTAGCTTTCTGACTTAGTAAGTGGTGGATGGATTAACATTGAATTTTAGAAGAAGCAAATAGCTTGGGAGAAGTGAATCCAGTTTCTAGCACTCATTGACTGTCCAAAAGGTTACATGTCATGGTTAGTCTGGAGCTTGGGGAGCTGTTGAGGTTGGACAGTTAAAACTGGCAGCCCCAGATTCCTCTGCCTAGGCTGTTGGTGCTCAGTGTCAGAGCTCTGGGTTCTGAAGCGAGGATGGGAGAAGCTGTACAAGGCAGGACGCCAGGAGACAGCTGCCCGCGCTGAACATTGCCTTTTCCCACACTGAGTGTTGTCAGGTTGCCTTGCCATCCAGCTGCCACTCAGAGGACAGTCAAAGGGAGGAGTAACGAGCTAGTGTTCGTGTGCATGAAGCAGAAATTCCTGCAGTCTGCTGAGATGAGTCACAGAAGACTCACCAATTCATGGCTATGGTGTTGGAAAATAGAGTGTTTGGTTTTAGGGGATAGAGCAAGTATGAGCAAAGTGGAGCAGCAGGAGGCTTGTGGCTGCATAAGGTACTAGGGCAGTGGTGGCAAACCTTTCCGACCTTTCCGTGACACAAACAGCCTGCCGCGGCATGTGTGCCGTAAGTTCGTCACCACTCTACTAGGGGGCGGAGGGTCTGGGGAGAAAGGCACTGGGAACAATTAGGAGGTTGTCAGTGCCAAACTTACCTGCTTGGGAGAATTATCCCAGCCGGTAAGTGATCTGCATCGGACCCACCAGGGGAGCCAGTGTGGACAGACCCCACATCCTTCTGCAGAGCCACACGCACCAATTCTTAAATTTTTGTACATAGAGTGCAAGGCCACTCTAAATCCTGTCTCTATCCCACTTCTTCCCTGTACTCCCCACGTATCTGTGGGCCTCCTTAGAAATCTCTCTCTCTCTCTCTCTCTCTCTCTCTCTCTCTCTCTCTCTCTCTGTCTCTCTCTCTCTCTCTCTAATCTATCTATCTCCTAATATTGGGGATTGAACCTAGGGCCAAACCTTTTCTATTTTTATTTTGAGACAAGGTCTTGCTAAGTTGCCTAGGCTGGACTTGAATTTAGGATCCTCCTTAAAGTCTTAAGTTTGTATCAATAACAACATTGTTTAGCTGCTTGTAAGTTCATAAGTAACTTTTTAAACGGCTGATTGAGGATCCAGTTACTGGGTATGAAAAAACTTCTATGTCAAAGAAGTTATTCATTAGTGAATTGAAATTAGCTTTTATTGATAATTCAGGAGTTCTGGGTGCTATATCCTGAAGTAACATTTGAAATTATTTCAAAGGCTAGGCGTGGTGGTGCACACCTGTAATCCTAGCACTCAGGAGACTGAGGCAGGAGGATCATTGTGAGTTCAAGACCAGTTTGGGCTACAAAATGAGCTCAAGGCCAGCCTGAACTGCATATTGAGACCCTGTCTCAAAAAGACCAAAAAAAAAAAAAAAAAACAAAAAGAGAAGTGAAATTATTCCAGAGAAGTTCTGCAGTGTTAAATGATTAATAGTTTCATAAACTAACATGGTTTGAATATAGTTGTATAAGAATAATTCAAAGTATTTTCTGAATCTATTTTCATGTGCTATAAATTTAAAATATTTTAAGAGAATGGTAGTGCTTTGTAGGAAAAAGTTGTTCCTTGGTGTATTATAACTACTGTATTTGAAGTAGAAATTTCTAGAATTTTGGTAGTAGAGATAGTGAAAGATCTTTTAATCCTCTGAGGTTTATTGATGAATGAATCTTTTCAAAAGATTAGTTAAAGCTGAATTATTCTTACAGATAGACTTTCTCAACCAAGGTTCCCCTTCTGCACTATAAAATACAAAATTATTTGAGTAATTATTTTCTTAATTCTTCCAAATTTCATTCATTGCTAATATCATTCTAGGTGCACAGGAGAGAAGTTAATTCCTTTTGTCCAATGGATGCCTTAGCCAAGGGTCTTCAAAGCTGGACCAGGCATGGGTTTCACACTTTTTAAGTGGTTGGAAAAAAGAAAAAAAGACTTTTATTCATTAATACGTCAAAATTATATGAAATTCAAATTTTACTGTTTATAAAGTTTTATTAGAACAAAGATGTGCCCATATACTTATATATTTTCTGTTGCTGCTTTCACAATAAAACCATAGCTGGGTAATGAAACAGAGCCTATGTAGCTACAAGGCCAAAAATACCTATTCTCTGGCCCTTTCCAGAAAAAGTTGACTGACCTTGTCTCAGGATTTTAGGACCCAAGGCTCATGGAACTGGCCGAAAAGGATTCAACAACAGGGAGAATTATACTATTTGAGTTTATTTAATAGCTTATTCAGAAAATTTATTTAATAACAGTACTTGTCTTTCAGATTATGCCTTCCCATATATTATATTAGTGTTATCTTTGGTTACTCTGGCCGTATACATGTCAGCTTCTGAAATAGAGGTAGGAAATGTTTTCCTTTGTTAAATTTTTTTTTAATAAATTTGACAGTTGAATAGTACAAATGATATGATAAGGTATAACTGTTTCAGTAATTCTTGGCTAATTGATGTCATTTGGACGGTTTCAGCTTGTTATGTACGTTTATAGAAGATTGTGTTTCTTGTACTGTATGATTCCTTGGGATGTTAGTGAAATAATGAAGTAGATAAGCTCTTCTTTCCAGCATGGTGTAGAAAAATTATTTCACATAATTTACCCACATAGCAAACATACAGTTGCTGAAATATGAAACTGATTAACACTATTTTGAGAGAAGCATAAAAATGCTTTACTATATATATAACTAACTTTAAACTTTATTTTATAGTAGCCATGCTGAATCATCAATAATTATGCATCATTCCATATCCATCTATATTTTATCCTCAATTCTATCTTTTTTTTTTTTTTGGTTTTTGGTTTTTCTCCAGTACCGGAAACCAAACTCACGACCTTGCGCTTGCCAGGCAGGTGCTTTTGCCGCTGAGCTAAATCCCCAGCCCCCCTCAATTCTATCTTGATTATAGATATTTACTTTTGCCTCCTAATATGTCTTATACTTGAGTGACTAGGAGAACATACTAATAGCCACTTTAGTTCTGATTCTGTTCCTCTTTTTAAGATACCCTGCTGGTGCTTCCTAACTCTTTAGAATTTTGGTGGAAGGACACTAGCATAAGGAACTCTGTTTTTTGTTGTTTTACATTTTATATATGTATTTATTTTCAGAGTTTTTTTGTCAAAATGTCTTATGATTCATTTGTAGGTCAGTGGGGTAGAATAGCCATCATGTCATCATATTTATATTTTTCAGTATTGTATGTTTAAGGAACTAAGCTATTATGAATCAAAAAATATTAACAATAAATCTAAAGTAATAGTGTATTTGACTCTATAAGGAAAATATGCATTAAGCTTTTAATCAAAATGGGTATTTTTGCATATATTTGTTCACATGCAATCTTCTGAAATTGTCTTTCTAAAATAATAATATACCTATTTCTATTTGTTTTAATGTCATTTGAAGGATAGCTATTAAATACATTAATATATCTGACTTAAGAACTCAGTGTGAGACTAAACCCTGATGGACTGAAAATCAAAGACCTTATGCTCTTCCATACTTCGTTAATCTAATGCCTTTGATCTCTGTCTTAAACTGCTCACTATAGTTAGATATATGCTTTCTTATAATTCTTACCTTTTTATAAAGGTCAACCAGAGAAAATAATTTAACTATGTTGGAATGGTTGCTGTTGACAGCACTTTTCTAATATATTAGTGAGAAAGTAAGCAAGGGGTGGGGAGTGGGAAATACCTAGAAATCATAGTGACTTTTAGATAGGATAAAGTAGAAGAACCAGAATATTTGTATGCTATTTAATTGTTTCCACTTAAAGACTATTCTCATTTCTTTTTAGTAATCCTTAACTAGCATTGAAATATGATTAAAGAAGATAGGAAGTTAGTTTTGACACTTTTATCAGCTGTTGGGAAAGGTTTGGATATTTGCATAAAATGAGGTTTTTGATTTTTTGTTATCCACAATTAAGAAGTATTTATGTGTTTCTAAATTAGCTTGAGACTTGGTTCTCTGCACCTATGAGCTTCCTTACGTAAAATGTTCACCATTCTTCAGTTAGCCCTCTACACACGAATCAGAAATCAGCATCTGAATCAGGGAAAAGCAGTCTAGTTCTAGATGAGCTGACAGGCCATATAATGACGTGAGAAAATTGGTGGCTTACCTAGTGCAAATGACATGTGAGTATGTTTATTGGCACATTTTGATGTTACTTTGGTATTAACTTGGTCCTTCCAATTTCTGCATATTATAGAGTATGTATTAAAGTTTAAAAGAAAAGCAGAGTATCTACATGGTTATTTCAGCTTTCTTCTAATCATTCGGGCAGCAGACTTGGAGTGGTAGCGAGTAAGAGGTTAGGTTTGTGGACCTCGTCTGTCCCACCTGTAGACTCACAGCTACAGGGCATCAGGGCAGGAGGAAACCCTAGTATGGGATTCCTCTCCTAATTCGTATGGTGACGTGCACCAGGACTCGAGAGACAGGAGTTCTTGTCGTGGTGCTGCTGTCCAGTGCTTTTATGACAGCAGGAAGCCTTACTTTCCTCGTCTCTAAAGTGCGGTGGCTAGACTGGGTAATGCTTAAGTCCTTTTTCACTCAACTGTTGTATAATTCCAAAGTACGATGACTGTGGAAACAAGTAATCTAGCAGATTCAGCCCGCTAATCTGTATTTCTCTTTTCTTTCTTTTATAAAATTACATAGAACTGCTATGATCTGCTGGTCAGGAAGAAAAGACTTATTGTTCTCTTCAGCCACTGGCTACTTCATGCCTATGGAATAATCTCCATTTCCAGAGTGGATAAACTTGAGCAGGATCTGCCCCTTTTGGCTTTGGTACCTACACCAGCCCTTTTTTACTTATTTACTGCAAAATTTACCGAACCTTCACGGATACTCTCAGAAGGAGCCAATGGACATTGAATATGAAATGCCAAAAAACTAAGAAATGTTCTTAATGAAAAAGTAATTTTAAAAAATATGTTAGGACTCTTCTATCATACACAGCAACAAAATGATCAGTATAGCTTAATGTCTGTGTTCTGATGTGTGACTCAACAGACCTATGATGAGGCTTGGGAAATAGAAAATATCACGATACTCTCTGTTGGCATATTACCTGTCACACCCTCAGCCTACGAGGATACATCTGCTGTTCTTAGAAGCCAGTCATGTTTCTGTGTACCTAGCAATGGGTTGTTTTTGTTTCATTAAGAAAAACTTCACCATATATTATCTGAAGTATCTAGCGGTGGCGTGTTGTACAGTTTGTTGTCGTAAATTTGTTTCTCACCTATAATGAATTACGGGCTTACTTGCAGAGTCTGGTAACAAACATGGAAATAAAGTATGTTGTTTTTTGTTATCTATTTATTTTCACCAATACAGTATTTTGATAATATTGCAAAAATAGAGCATAATTTATAGAGTAAGTTTTCTGTTTATAGTTTGGTGGAGGACATGTTCAGATTATTGTTCCTGTAAAGAAAACAGTAAAAAAGAACATAACTACAAAAAACTCAAACGTTCTGACATGTGGTTGGTTTTTACAATATTAAATATGAAAGTAATTTAAAGATGTTAAGTACTAAGTCTTTTTTCTCAAATGAATAAATACATATATTCATATGTTCTCTTTCTCTTACATCCATTTTCAGGGAAAACTATATGCTATATTTCATTAATCCCATGATACTTTCGCACTGTGACATTTCTAAACTAGGGTACATCTTATGACTGATGGCTTCCTAGATTTAATGAAACAAGAGTATGCAAACAGTTTCCTTGTGATTAGTTTTTTATACGTATGATGTTTATACTAGTCACAGCCATGGAAGTAAAATAGAATATTGAGCACTTACCCTAATCTGTGTTCATGCATTGTATTGTTTTGAAGGCTATTCACTTTTTTTTAACTGCGTAATAGGGTGAGGCATATTTAAAGCTCACATGTTGAAGATTTCAAAATATGAAAATAAGTGTACTCACTTTTTCCTGAGTTTTGTTTATGCCTTTTGAATTCACAGCAATTGTATATTTGAGTTATCTTGTTATTTTTCATAAATGCAGTTTTCTTTTGTAAGAAATGGACTCCTTTTGGTGTGCTTGACTTTTTTCTTTGCTGTAGGAATAAAAAAATGTTAAATTCTTTTTGTATCTCACGCAGGTGTGCTGGCTGCTAGCATCCATTAAAATTCTGAGCTGCCCACAGAGTCTTCAGTTGGGTACTTAGTTTGTGGAGTATGCAGGAGGTGCCATGAATCTATCAGGACTATATCTCCTAGTTCCATATATTTGAAGTCATTTTCTCAGATGCCCTATTTTAGCAGAAAAATACGTATGCAAAAGAAGAATTTAATGGTTACAGGTCCTTAAATCAAGGAATTTTACATATACTTAATATTTGCAAATTTATTTGATTTCATAAAAACCAGCATAATTCATAGCCCCTAGGTTGCTAATGTTAACTAAATAATTTGGTAAAGCATATGGTCATTAAAAACATATAAAACAACCTTGTCCCAGCTCAGCTTTGTTAAATTTTGACTTAAGATCTTGCAGGGCCACTAGGTGCTCGTGTCTGTGCCACCCTTCCACAAGAGATCTCTGTATTCCTGACATTCAGGAAGACTTAACTCTTTAGCCTCCCATAGCCGCTTGTTAGATCCGCTGTACTCTAACCTCTCTTCACTTGCGTGGCTCTCACAGGTGTGCTCGGTGAGGTTCAGGGTAGGTCTTTGCGCTATAACCTCTGGCCAAGGGCCAGGCTGAGGAGTGCTCACTGTGTTAAGTTAATGGGTGGTGCTGTGATCCAAGGAGAGGGCTGCGTCTGCAAGGCTGCAATGACACTGTCTGTCCAAAAGAGGACAGGAGAGGCTTGTGGAGCTGGAAGAGAAGAACTACTTCTCCAGGAGAATCCCTTCTGTGTGAGAAGCAAATCAGGGAAATATCAAAACTAGATCACAGGTGGCTCAGAGGTGGTCAAGCAATTCCAGACCCCAACTTTACTCTTACCTCCCCAGGAGGGTAGTAGATTTCAGGGCTCTGATTGCCTCATTTAGGTGTGATGTTTTATAAGTCCTATTGACTCGTATTTTACAGCAGGAGAGAGTGGGACATGGAGATGAAGCTGGGATTAAGTCCACCTTGCTTTAAAGCCCACATGGAGCTCCCAGCAGCAGTGGCAAGTGGAGCTATGGGAAACCAGGCATTGTTCAGATCTTAGCTCTGTTTCTATTTCCAGTTCTTCAGAGGTTTCTCCCCATTCCTTAACCAGGTTGTTCTTTCATGCTTCTGAAGCCCCACACGCAGCATACTTGGGATTGTGCATACATTTGTATGATGCTGATTCTCCTACTGTAGTAGGAGTGGGCAAGTTACAGCCTAGGGGATAATTCTGCTACAGTCGCAGAGTTCAGTAGTTGCTACAGAGACCTCATGGCTAGCAAAGCCAAAAATATTTATTGTCTACCACTTTACAGGAAGAGTTTAATAGAACCAACCCTATGGACTGTGGGTTCCATTTGGGCAGGACTATCTGTTTCTTGCAGTAGTAACTCAGTGTCTGACAGGGTTCTTGCCACAGACTAGGCACTCAGTAAATGCTGGTTGAGTACAGTGAAGTGTTAACACATAAGGTGGAACCTAGAACATGAGATGTGTCAAGACCCTGCGTGCCCAGGTGTCCATATTTCAGTGGCTGCAATTAGCACTAAATAGGAGTTCTGCCAGTCAACAAATTCTTTTTTTTTTTTTTTTTTTTTTTTTCCCTGCCTTTTTTTGAAACAGGGTCTCACTATGTAGTTCAGGCTGGCCTTGAGCTCACTTTGTAGTCCAGGCTGGTCTTGAATTCACAACGATCCTCCTGCCTCAGCCTCCCGAGTGCTGGGGTTACAGGCGTGCACCACCACACCCGGCCCTAACAAATTATTTTGACTGAAAATATTTTCAGTAAGCAAATATTGTGTATTTTTTCATGAAACAATCTTTTCATTTTCAGTGAAAATTTGGTTTTCCCGGATTGATCACTGTGTACACAGTGTGTGCTCAGTCTTCCGTGGCCTAGAATGAAGAAGTCAGCCCCTCTGCTCCATTTGGGCTCAGCCTGTGGTGTCCTTAGGCTTTACCATGGCACAGCAGAGCTTGCCTCTCTGTGCGACCACATCCATTCAATTAAGTTCAGAGACTGGCACACTTATTCTATAAAGGGTTGAGAGTTTAGGGTCATGTCTAATACGAAATTTTATTCAGCAATTGATGATAAAGTTGACATGCCTCTGAAGAAGTCAGTGTGCTTGCTTATGAGACAAGCATATTCGATGGGATATGTCATCTCAAAAGCCCGAGTTGCTGTTTTTAATGCTAAATTCAGCTTAGGAAAAAAGAATAACATTATGCTCAGATTTGTTCTGTTTAAGACAAGCATATGTGTAGAGTTAAATGAAAAACTTCTCTGAAAAAAATTGTTTTTGAGACAGAGTCTCGCTGTGCAGCCCAGGGTCACCTGAAACTCGTGGTGATCCTCCCGCCTCAGCCTCCCAAGTGCTGGGATGACAGGCATGTGCCACCATGCCTGGTCCTAAAAAATGTTCTTAAAAAAGACCTCGTTTAAAAAAAAATTGTACAAAGCTAAGATTCACTTACCTAGAAAAATTTCTTAGGTGGGAAGGAGAATTGGCAGATACTTTGTGTATGACCATATGGAACCCATTAGTGAGTATCAGTATTTAGTTGAATGTTTGTGACATTGGGCATGAGTTACTTGAGACTTTTTTTTTCCTTCTTTGGATGTCATCAGCTATAGCAAAATAGCAGGAAGGTGTATTGATGTTTAGGTGTTACCAAACATTTAGGTATTACTTACGAAGACTGGTTGGCGATTCTTCTTTTGTAAGATTACGCAGGTCCTCAAAATTCCCTTGTAGCCAAAGACTGATGGACTCAATTTTTTCATCCCTTGTGCACAGCTTGTCTATTAGATTTTTTATTTCACTCAAGGTATTTTTACCATTGTGCACCAAGTCCTTAAAGGAATGGCATGTATGGATATGTGAATATAAATTGTAACAAAAGCATTCTTTCTAACTAGGTTATGTGTAAAACCAAAACTATATATGCAAAATTGGGTTTAGTTATGCAAAGTATTTTGTGCACACAGCCATTTGACAAAGTTCTAGAAGAGCCTAGAACTCTTGGCTCTTGGATTACCAAATGAGTTGATTTAATTGAATGACCACTGAGCTTGCATTTGTAACTAGGTGCAGTAATGGTAGCAGTGGCATAAAAAGCCAGTTCACCCTCAAACTGATACGCAACTGCAGAGGAGATAATGCTTCAGAGAAGGAACTTTATAATCAGATAGGATCTCAGTTTTAAATCCTCAAATTCATTATTATTTAGTCTTGAGCAAGTTAGTTAAACTTAAAAGTCTAGCTTCATCTCAAAAATGCATTTACTAACACTTTCCTTACCCAGAGGCATAAAGGTTAAACATGGATTTTATGTAAACTTTGCTATTTATGTAACCTTTTAACATTTAGGCAGATCCTGAATTCAAATCCCAGCCTATCTGACTAAAGTGGGGAGAGGTAGAGATGGTGCATGGCTAAGTCTGCCTTAAAACAAAATGTGTTCAATGTGAGCTACAGAGAGAGAGAGAGAAGGAGAAAAAAGAAAGGGAAAGAAAAAGAAAAAGAAAGAAAGAAAGAAAGATGTGCAAACATTGCATTGTTTCTCTAGTGTAAAGCCTGAAAGAATTAATTTAAACTAGGAGATATGATAGACATTGTAAATTGATAGGAAAGCACGCAAAGGTAAAGGATAACTGGGATATGGGAAAAGAGAAGGCAAAGAAGGAGAAAGTTTGTATGTATGTATATGCAGGATAGTTAACGTGGCTGTTCTACTGTCTTGTATTTCTTTGCTGAAAGAAGCTGTCATTGAGTCCTTGATTGATCAGCTTTGTATGTCTATATTTGTTTTCATGAGAAACCACTTTGAAGATATTAATATGTAATACAACCAGCATTGTTAATTGCCTACCACTCCGTTGTAACTCTGTACTGTCTGTACTGTTCCTTTGCTATTTTGTCAAATGTCGACTGTCTGTTAATATTTTCCTCCTTTTATTTTTAAAATAAAAAAAAAGAAAGAAAGAAAAAAGAAGAAAGAAAAAGATGAAGAAAGAAGTCTTTCCCAGTTTAACTGACTAGTAGTATAAGAAGATAGTTTCCTGAAGGATTAAGATTTTATAGTGACATTTGAGGTAATTGCTACATTTTAGCATGTGATGGCCACACTAGCTCTTCACTCCCCTGCAGTTCACAACTCTATGCACGCACACACGCACACGCTTTCTTACTAGATAGGTGAACATTTTTATAAATGATATTTATGGAGGTGACACACAATAACTCACCTTAACCGTGGCTTTAAATTCTGCCCACAGGTGTATATATTGTGCTGAAACAGATTTTAAAATACAGTGGTTACCAAAACAATTTGAACACATAAATTGTTTGCATTTACTTTTCAAAAATTATTTTTATCTCAAAATTTCCACTTGCACAACGGCAGGCTAATTGGACCAGACACGCCCTCCTGCTGGCTTTCTGCTGGGACCACTTGCCAGACGCAGCGCAGCACAAGATGAGCACGGTAGTCTTGCACACAGACACAAAAGTGCACGAAGATTAGCAAACCAAATTAGCAATGGATACAGTGAAAGCGCCTAAACAAGAGACCTTACTCCAGGAGTGGGAGATTGGTTTAACAGCTGAATCTCAGTAGGTACACCTTACCACACCTGAGAACACCATCGGTGCCTCTCAGAAGTCTGAACCACAGGCTGATCACAGAAACCCTATAAATTTGCAGGAATGACCCCACTGATACCCTGGATACCCAAGCCCAGGAAGCCTCCCTGGTCGGAGACATGTTGCATGTGTGGTCACATGTCATTGCTAGGAAAATGAAGGACAGCCAGGCAGCTCTGGGAGGAACACTGAGAGCATGCCCCTGTTTTCCTCCACACGTTGCCCTACATGCCTTTTCCCTTTGCTGATTTTAGTCTGTATCTTTCACTGTAATCACAACCACACATACAAAGCAGCTTCTGAATCTGATGGATTCTTATTATGAATCAGTAACTCTGAGAATAGTCCCAGGGGCAGCTGACACTAACCCAAAAGCTATGAAATTTTGCAGAGAAGAATCAAAGAAGACTCAGCAAAAGGAGATTTAGACAGTGTTTTGGGATCGGAAGACAATTTTGTTAAAATGTCAATTCACCTAAAATTGATTTACACATTGAACACAAACCCCATTGAAATCTGGGAAGGCTGTGTGTGTGTGTGTGTGTGTGTGTGTGTGAGTGAGTAAGCTGATTCTAAAATTTAAATGGAAGAACCAAGATAATTGTAAAGGAGAAGCCTAAAGATAAGAACTTACATGGTCTGCTGTCTAGACTATATATGAAGCTATAGCAATCTGAAAAATGTGGTACTTAGTATAAAGTTAGAGTTTTAGAATAAAGTAATATACCCATAAAATTGGCTTTTTAAAAAGTTGCTAGATTAGTACAGTGATGAAAGTACAGTCTTTTCAAAAAATGGTAATGGAACAACTGAAAATAATGCAAACGTCCTTTGGTTGCTGAATGAAAAAACAAAAATATATATCCACACAGGGAATACTACTGTGTAGTTATAATGAGAATCAACTAATTATCTACTTATTAGTGTTAGAAACAAATCAGTACTTTCTAGGAAATGGAGGTGGGGTGGATGGTAACTGTCAAAGGGACACATGAGAAATTTTGCAATGATAAAAATGGATGTCTTGCTAAAGTGGTAGTGGTTATAGTGCTGCATACATCGGTCAAACTTCATTGAACTTGTGCATTTTATTATGCACAAATTAATATAATCAATTTAAATGAATCAAAAACGTGTAAAGAGGATCCATGATACACTACTTACTGTGCTGCACTATGAGTTCCCAGGACAGGTCCTTCGCGTTGTATGTGAGGAAGTCTTGTCTTCTTCTGTATTCCTCTGTGTCGTTTTTCAAGTTTGAAATGTACTGGAATGAAAGGGATGTGATTACTATTAGCAGTTTAGTTACTGTAGACAAAATATCCATGAAGTCATTCAGAAATTCCTTTTCTGTGTCAGCAGCTCTGCTACTGCAGGAGTAATAGTGGTGAGTACTCTTGTCAAGCTTCCATGGGGGAAGACAGTAGAGGATTCTGCTTTCTGGTAAGCATTTCAGCATCCAAATAAATGTGACATTCTAAATGTAATTTGACACAAAAATTAAAAGATATTCTGCCTGTCTGCGCCATGTCCACTACAAAAATGTTCCTTATGTAATTAATGTGTGCATCAGACGTCATAAAGCAGGAATGCTGTCAGACCGGAGTTCAGCATAAGACCTCAGAGATGACCTACGGGGTCTAGAGACCCTAAGGAAGTGCCCACTCAAATCAAGGTTTCATTGAGTTGGATGACGGTGGTAGTACTCTGGGTATAAACTCATTCTATGCATATATTGAAAACCAGGCAGCTGGGCATGGTAGCACACACCTGTAGGCCCAGCACTTGGGAGGCTGAGGAAGGAGGATAGCTGTGAGTTCGAGGCCAGCCTGGGCTACATAGTGAACTCAAGGCCAGTCTGAACTACATAGTGAGACCCTGTCTCAAAACAAAACAAAACAAAGCGAAACAAAACAAAACAAAATAAACCAAGAAAAACTCATCTATGATATTAAGATGAGGAAACGGGTTATCAACAAGAGGATAAAGAAGATACCTGGACACTATGAATGTCTGTTCTCATCTTTTCTCATAACTACTACTGATCTAGCCAATCAACAGAAACCACTTTGCAAAGTGAGGGGCTCTTGAACTTACTTCTTTTAATCTTTTATTTTCCAGAAGCAAAAGCTCTACTTTTTGGTCATACAAATAGACTTCATTTTCTAAGTTCTTTAGAATTTCAAAATGTTCTTTGAGTTTTTGGCTTTCTTGATCTCGTACTTCTTGTAATTCTTCCTTCACTTTCTCCTGCTCAAACATAAAAGCCACAGTCACCTCAAGGAGTTCAAAGAGCAGAACAGCAGAGTATTAGACTGCCTAGTGATAGTCAGAGAAGGGCTCCACGTTAACTCTGGAATCAGCCAGCTGAGACTACAGACATCCTCCCTTAGAAAAACTTATAAGCCTCTAAGCTAATTCATGAAAATTTATTTATGGACTCTAGGAAGGGGCCTGCAGATCCCATGTTAAGTATCCCAGACGCAGATAATTTCACAAAATTGAATATACTTTGATCTGTGAACACTGCCTGCAAAAAATGTGGGAGGAAATTATTGTGGCTTCTTTTAAGGAGAATTTAAAATTTCTTTAAGCAGAAAAAGAACAGTATTGTATTGATTTAAAAATATTCTCCACTGTTTTCTCTCCTGAATTCTCTATTCAGTTTGTGGATATTGTACTGTGATAAACCATGTCTTCCCTGTATAATCAGCACCACCAGCATCTAATTAAGAAATAGGACTATATATATACTACACTTACTTACAGTTTTCTTCTTCATATTAAATAGTAAAAATTAGTTTTTTATATCGGTGCATCCTAAAGAGTAGGATATTTCCATTTTGAATTAACCAGCTCCACATATGCATCTCATCACCATCTACCAGTTATATACTTCAAAATGCAATGAACCCCTCATTACCTGTTTCTGTTTTGACATTTCCACCCCCCATGTGCCCACTCTTCCTTAAAAAGCTTCATCCAGTCATCACTTCATGAACAAGGGAAGGGCATTTCTCTCAGTGATTTTCCCACTGTCACATGGGAGTGGTTCCAGAGTTCTACCTCATTGGTGCCCCCCCATATATGGTGACCAAAATTTAAAAACACTGGCATTGAACAAGTAATTTTAGTAAATGTGGATTTCATGATAACACCAATGGTGCTGTGTAAATAGGGCAGACTGTGCATACTAGTATTCTAATAAAAAAGAATGAACGTGTTGACTCGTTACCCTGTTTTCAACATATCTTGAAAAGTCCCTTGTAACATGAGAAATGTAATTGTTCAGCAAAGTCTCCTCCTGCTTTTGTGCTATTAAAAAAGAAAGAGAAAGAGAAATAACTATTGACAATGTTCCTGGGCTATCAAGCATTAAAGCAAAACATGTGCTTAGTTTGAAGTCAAATAATAAGACAAAGCATGGCTTGGACTCTGACAAAACCCAAACATCCGGTGCTTCCCAGTGCTGCATCTGTCCCTGTGTCCAAGTCCTCAGAATCATCATTTAAAAAACGTTTACCACTGTTTCGCCTTCCCCCTTCCATGTAGCACAGTGTCCTTAAGATGTGTATTATACAGCTGTTTCTTAATTTATCATTTTAAGACACCTTCTATTTACTTGTGAATACAGTAAAGGAGGATTTAGCATGCTTTCTCCCATCCCCACATCCCCACCCACACCCATGACCTCTCCATCTCCTGCTCAACCTCCCCATAAAGGTATTATTTTTGTTTAAACAAATTATAACTGTTTATGTTATTATGACAATGTAAGGCTTACTTATGAACTAAATGGTAAATATTTTGGGATTTAGCTGAAGTTAAAAATTACCTCACTATAAAATGTGCTCAGTGCTTTATGCATATGTCATTAACTCACAACCTACAACAGAATTGTAAAGTCTTTCTGAATATTTCTTCACCTTGTTATAGTTTCCTGAGGTTCCCAAGGGCTCTGGTGATGAAGGCTTCACCCCCAGGCTAAGTGCTATTGGGAAGTTGTGGAACCTTAAGAGGCAGAGACCGGTAGGGGGCCCTCAGCTCACTAGGGGAAGCCCTCGAAGGGCACTGTAGCTTATGAAGAGGAAAGTTCTTTCTGCCACTCTCTTCTGCTACTGCCAGCCAGCGCTCCCAACAGAGGGCCAGAGCAATCAGTTGGCTTGGTCTTGAACTGGAGCTCCAGAACTGTAAAACCAAAATGTCCTTTTCTCTTTATAAGAGTTCTCTCAGCTATTCCATTAGAGTGGTGGATAGCTGACTCATGCACACATGGTCAAATTCATTAGTGAATCTGTGAGGTTGGCATCTGCCCCTCTGAGCTGTCCCTTCTGCAGTCTTTCCTCTGTAGAACCGCTTCATGCTGACCTCCTTCAGTTCGCCTCTGCCAAGCTCTTGGACTTTCTGTTTCCTCATATCCTCTTCCTTTTCTTGCTTTATTCCATTTAGTAAAGGAAATTCTATACTAGATTCATGAAAAAGGGTAAATAAGTGTTTTGAGACCTTGTACATCTAAATATGTCTCTTCTAGGCTTATATTTGATTGGTAGTGTGGTTTGTTGTCCATATTGGGGATTTTATTCCCTCAGAATTTTGAAGTCTTTCAATTTTTAGTAAGATACTGCTGTCAAGAGAGATGTATTTATGTGTTTCTAAAAGCCACAGCACTGTTCTTTGTGTTAACCGAGCACGGCTGTCTGTTGCCTATAAGTGGAACGTCTCGTGGGAGGCCTTTCCCACGCTGACCCCTGCTGCTCTTATGTTCTGTTTCCTCCTCTTCTCCTGTCTTCCCTTCTTTTCTCTACTTTCTTCAGCACTTTTTCTCATTCCTTTCCCTTAAGAGATCAGTATATGCGATGTATAAGGAGTGTTTGAAAACCACGGTGAATGTCTAAATTTTAAAAATCATTACAATAAAAGACACATTGCCATCAGTCCCCCACACAATCCCCCTGTTACTTCAAACACACTTATCCCATTGTTTGTGCCATTTCCGGAAGGAGTTCCGGAGTCCTCTTTTGTATCTTTAGTTGATTTGTCCTGGCTCCCTCAATGTCCTGAGTCCATTCAAAACATTTACCTTTCACAGTCACTTTGATTTTGGGGACAAGCCAGAAGTCCCATAGTGCCAGATTCGGAGAATAGGACGGAGGACACACCATCATGTTTTCGGGGACCTGTCTTTTCACCAGATGGCACTCAGCGGCAGCATTCACAATTTTTTATTTTTAAATCACACCTATTAAAGACACTCCGAAAAGAGGACTTCCAGATCCATTCAGAAAGCGGCAAGAAGGATGGGATCAGTGTGTTTGAGGAAAGTGGTAGTATTTTGGAGGGGACTGATGGTAATATGTTCTTTACTGTAATAATTTTTTAAAATTTAAGCATTCACCATTACTATGATGGCTCTTCATAGTGCTTACTTTTATGCTCATCGTGTTTCTTAAATCCTCTACCATGTACAGAAAGGGACAGGAGGTAAGGCAGAAACCAGGGATGAAGTACATGCGTATTGTAGGTCTGGGTTAGAGGTTAAGGAGGTCTACCTAAGTTGATGAGACTAAAACCTGACAAAAAGTAGAAAATCAACGACAAAGGGAAAATCAGACTGATTACCCAGATACTTATTATTATAATATTCTTTTTAAAAAATCTACCTTTCTTGGCAATAATCACTTCATTTTTGAATACTTGTTCCTTTTACAGTTGAACACCGTGGGTCTCCATATGGTGGCCTATTTTGACACAAACCTTTTAAATTCTTATCCTCACATTCCTCTTTGCCAGGTGGTCATTTCCACTCCTACTCCAGTGGGTGTCTTTTGCTCCTGTGCTAGTCCTTTCTGCAATTTCTGTCTCTAGGATTACAATTCCCATGGTCTGCTTTTGTCATCTAGGAGACATGAGGTCTGGAAGCGGTTCCTGCTTATTGACCCACACTGACTCCCTGGAAAATGATCCTCTATTCCCTAAATGCAAGAAATAACTCAAACCTCTGGGATGATTCTGGACCATGAATATAGGATTAGATGATCACATCTAATTTTTGTGGAGAATCAATTATTTTTATATTAAACCCACACATGGTTATATTATGTCATAGAATGCAAAAACCCTCAGAGTCGGGGATATTTTCTATCTTGAATTAAGCTTCCATATCTGAAATAAATCTTACCGTAGGAGTAGGCTAGTTATAAAAGAATCTGAGGTAACAGCCACTTGATAAATGGTTAAAGTCTTAGCTAAAAAGGAGATGTATTTAGCAAATTCATGGTTAGAGGCAGAAAAACGTCTCCATGTGGTAGCTGATCCAGGAGTTAGTTCTAACTTTATGAAATCTGGAGAGAACACAGTATACTGAACTACTAATTCCTAATTGTAAATAACCTTTAAGAGAGAAGGGAAAACTTAATAAAAGCAGCAGTAAGGTTGTGGTGTGAAGGAAACAGCAAGCTAAAGGTGAGGGGCCAGGGTCGAATCTCACCACCACTGCCACGGAGTACCCCACCCCTCATGGTGGGAGAGAACCCAGGAGGAAGGTAGCACCACCGGCTTCAGACGCACCTGTAAGAATCCTATAGAGCTCTTGTAGCCTCCTGTGTTTTTCTGTGTACTCTTCTTCTGCCATATGAAGGTGTGGAAGACTATCATTAAGCTTTTCTTCCGTTTCTTTGCTAATTTTTGTTTCCTTAAAAATTAAATCCTTTAAAGAAAATAAAGCTAGTTGAGAAGTGGTTTTGGAGAATTTACCCAACCATTCAGAGTACACTTGATCTTAGCCAAAAGGGCCAAGAAGCGATAACAATTCAGAGTAGAATGGCAGGTGTTTGAAGGGGAGTGTTCTGTCTCTTACCATGAGGGGTACAGAATAGCATCTGGCACACACTTGCTGTTTAACAAATGCTCACTGTCTGACTTACTTGACTGTCTGGCAACCTGTACCACAGGAGGTTGGATTCAGTATTTGCCCTTCCAAGGATCCTTTCAGTTCTGTATCCTATTCATGTATTTCTGTTGCTACCATGTATACAGCCAAAAACATATTGGAAGAAAATTTCCTTTGGTTGATCGTATTTTATGAAAAAGGCACCAAAACAAAGCACAAAAAATTTTTAAAATGTGGATATAAGTGAAAATGGGGCAGGATAGAAGTAATGAGATACAATATTATAATAAAAAGGTGATGTGTTCACCTTGTAAGATATTTTTTGTTGTATTCTGTGCAACCTGTTGGCCTCTTCACAGCCTGTTCTTACCTCCTTCCCCACAGATCTGCCCTGTTTCACCCCACGCTGCCTTGTGGAAGCTCCCAGGTCAGCATGATGGCCTCTTTGGATGAAGGCCCATGAGACCGATGCTCCTAGGCTCCTTGCATCCCATTTGTCTCTCAGCTTCCTCACGGCAGCTCCCAGTGCCCCTGCACAGTCCCACCGGCCACTGTCTGCAGCACTAATCTGCAGTTCTGCATAATGTGAAGTCTGTGACTTTATTGTTTATCTCAAAACTATTTCTTGTTGTTCTATTTGTATTCCTTTTTCAGGTAAAGAAGAGAAAAGATTCACAATAAAATTGTAACCTTGTCCATACTGGAAGATTGACTGACACTTAACTGGTCAGATCATGGAATATTGTCCCCTCCCCACTATGCAGTCATCCCAAATTATTTTTAGATGTAAAATAAAAATTACCTCATATATGCTTAACTCATGAATTAACTTTTTCTCCTCAGTTATAATTTCCTTCTCTTCTTCTTTTAATTGTGCTGTAAGTTTTTCGATCTGTGTCACAAATTCATTGATCTCCATTTCTCTAAGTTTAGTCTAATTTTAAAAATGAGAATTTTTATAAGTTTCTCTTGTGGTGGTCAGCCTTACATTTTCAAACAGCTGTGTAAATTAATATGTCCTTGCATTAGAGATGCTTGTGATTTCAGGTTATATGATTTCTCAGTAACTATTGGGAAGGATTTCATTTTTCCCTCTAGAAATTAAGTTTTTCACACAACAATATGTATAAATGGCATGAGGAACAGGAGGGAGGAAAGGTGGTGGGTAGACAAAGAGAAAATATGAAGTAACCAGTGCTTGTTATTCTCATATTTTTAGAGACAGCTCCCTTAAAGACTTAACATCAAGTGCATTGCTGCTACAGGTTTTAAAAACATTCTGGAGAGAATTGCTACTTAAATTGCTAAATACATCTAGTTAATGTACAGAAAACAGATGGATTTCTGAAGGAAGTTGAATAACTAATTCTAAATTTGAAGTCAACCAAAAGGAAATTTAATAAAATACAACATAATGAAATATTGAAAGAGAATCACTGATACACAATACAGGCATGTAGAGTAATTCTAAATATCATGGTGGGTGCCCTTACCTCTTCCAATAGTTCATTTCGTCTCTGTTCTGCCTGATTAATTTTATCTGAAATTGCTTCTATTTCAGCTGTTTTCTGGGCTAGCCATTGTACATGCTGTTTTCTTGCACAAGCTAGTTTCCACTGAGTTATAACACTTGCAATTAGAACAAAAAGAATTACAAATAAATGGATATAGCAGTTTAACAAAAAGAAGGAATTCAAAGCAAAGTGAGTCCTACTATAATTTTACAAAAGTGCTGGTGCCATTGGAAATGCACACTACACATGACTGAAGCAAAAGAACACATTAACTACTCCCTCAATGCAGTCTCGGCAAGTTGCCTTTCAGTGAGATGCCTGGGACAAGCCACAGTGGGAAGGAGCTCACTACTCTAGGTGAGGATGGACAGAGGGAGTTCTCCAGGATGGGTACAGAAAGAAGAGACGCAGGCAGAAATACTAACGGAATTATCCAAATTACTTAAAGTACTAGTAAGAGATTTCAAGCTTGTAGGTTCTCAATCTTTTCTCTCCAGCACAACACTAAAACAACCCTACATATCTGGAAGATGGTAAAAAATGTGCAATTAGAATCTTATGAATAGTAACCTTAACAACAATACTAAAAAAATGCACCAAGTATTAACAAGTGCTTCCTTGGTGTACGTTATCTGCAGACTTCACACAGATCATCTCTCTGATGTTGACAACAGCTTTGCAAGGTGGCTGCTATTACTGTTCCCTACTTTAGAGGGGTGGGACCAAAGAAAAAGTAGTTATTGAGCGTCAGTCACCAAACTTGTCAGACAGAGCAACCAGCGTAGCCCATGTGCAAAGACTGTGGTGCTAACCATTCTGTTTTGTCTCCACCCTGTCACCCGACTCACTCACCCACAGTCTCCACAGAAGCCTGGGTGAGCCTCAGACACTGCACGAACACGGGCAGTTATAGCCTCTGGTGACTGTTCTATTGCAATGGAAACCTTTGGCTTTGTCCAATGCCAAAAAATCAAGCTAAAACACATCACGAGCTGAGAGAACACACATATTTTATTTAGGAAAATTATTCCCATGGGCTCTAGATAACATATACTATAAAATAACACAAATTAATTTTTTTACCATCTCTGATTTTCTCTTTCCAGGTTATCACTCTGAATTTTTACTTGTTTTTGAAACACATCTTTTGTTGCTCTAAAAACAAGAAAAATAGATTGGAGTTTAGATTTGTGGGAGCTCTTCAAATACACCAGAGACTGTTTATGTGTAATTCTTCTGCTCAAAAGGCTACAATGAAATTGGAAGACAAAAAAAAAAAAAACCTGGGAAACAACTGAAGATTTCAGTGGCATGTTTACTGAAGGAGAACTCTAGTTGTAGGGCAGAGCAAGCTGATCTCACAAGCCTTGAGGTGCATATCCAATGGTGGGGAAAAGATTCGAGGGAAGCACTGAGGAAAGGCCCTAGAGGTCCATGGTAGAGGAAGAAAGTGCATTGCCAGAACCGAGCTGCAGCCCTCCCAAGGGAAGGGGTCACTGCTGGCAGAGAAGCAGAAGAAAGGAGCAGAAAGGCAGGGCCGTGTCATGACACGAGGCAGGCGTGCAGCGTGCAGCGTGCAGCGTGCAGAGGGCATGGAAAAGAGTAACACTGTGCCGCAGGAGGGTTTAGCCTTCAACTGCCGAAGACTCTGCATACTGCAGTAAGTTTTAATTTGACACAATACAGAATTCAGAAGACCAAGGTAGACTTCTGACTGAGGGGGAAGCACTAATTAAAGACGGATGGTTTTCTTGTGATAGGATGAGTGGACATGTGAACATAGACAACAGAAGTCTGTATTTTTATTTCTCTTCTCCCTCTGAAGTATCCCATGCACACAAATGAATTGAAAGCCACATAAGTAAAATGCTGCTTTATATCTTCTGAAAGAAAAACTCATCCATGAAACTCACAGCATGAAATGCAGTTGTGTAAATTATGGAAGGCCAGAAATATTCATAGATGAAGCAAAACAAAATGCGGTCAAGTGAACGAGAAATGCAGCTGTGCTCCCGTTTCCTTCTCTCCTTGAAATCATAGTGTGGTGTGGGCTCTCGGCTTCCTCTCTGGTATCCTCACCCGGATACTCAAGGTCTTCCACAATTTTCCCTTCAATGGTTTTATTTGTTTATATGCTTAGTATACTAACAAAGGGTCTGAGCCAGTTTAAAATAAAGCAACTGTAATGTAAAAAATTCTAGGGGGATAACGGCATTGGGCCACAAATTTGCCTGTGAGCTTCCTGGTGACCCAAGCACTAATGACATCACAACTGACGCTAAAATTTGCATTATTCCTGAGGAAAACAAAACTGAATTTAACCCAGTTCCATTTTTCCTGCTCTTGCTCTTTTAGACAGGGTCTCGCTATGTAGTTCAGGCTGGCCTTGGACTCACTATGTATCCCAGGCTGACCTTGAACTCTCAGCAATGCTCCTGTCTCCGCCTCCCAAGTGCTAGGATTACAGGTGTGTGCCATCACGTGTGGCCATTTTCCTGGTCTTCTCTGGGGAGCAGTTTACACATCTCTAAAACTGATATAAGGAGAAATGGGTGTTCAAATATATTACTGAAATATATGGAGCAATCATCCACAAACCCTGTACTTCCTGTTAAATTCCAGGTATCTACTTGTACATGTAAAATTTTCATCACCACTTATGTTGTGTAAGCTGGCTTCATCACTGCCCTGCATTTAAATCCTGCACAGCCCTGCATGTGATGATAGCATTCCCTCACCTGATGAATAAAACAAAAATATGGCTTGTTTTGGCCAAGTTTTAAATCCTTATATAACAAAGAGGATCTCTTGGTTTCACCATCCACTTGTGGTTGCTCTTTTAGAATCCACACTCCATTTTTCACATCTATACTTGGCTCATCAGTTATTTCAGGTGTGTTAGTCTTACTTATCTGCCCAACAAAGAGCTCTAAATTTGCTTTAGGTTCACGGTGAATGGAAGGGTGCAATAGTAGCACATCCCCAAGGCATTTTGACAATAATTTTGAAAATGAAAAATTTCCCTCCATCTTTGACCTAGTAATTTAAATTTTAGGACTTTTTTGTGAAGATAGTCATACAGATAGTCAGAGATATGTTAAAGAATGTGAACTTCAAGAATTAGTTATAATATAGCAGACAGAAAACCCCAAGTTTCCATGAGTAGAGTATCCACAAGTTAATAAAATGCAGTATATCATATCATTCAGTTGGAGAAAAGAATGAAGACCTATGACCCATGTAGATGACTGTTATGGAATATCTAGATGTCCCTCCAAAGCCTATGCAGTTATAGTTGTGTCTTTTTTATTTTTTTATTTTAAAGAGAATAGTAAAAAAAAAAAAAAGAACAATAGCAAAATATAAACAAAACAAAGCAAAGACATTAAAAATGGTATGGGGTTTCCAACCAAATGATAGGGATTAACAATGGTTGTTATATTACATATTGTTATCTTCAAGGAAGTTGCTCAGATTACCAAATGTAAGAATGGAAGATTGATCAAACCATTAAAGAGAATAAGAAAATAATAATTTAAAAAAGCATTAGACATAATACAGAGTTTCACTAGACAGGATGGTAGGAGTTCACCAATGGTTATTGTATTGCATATTGTTGTCTTCACATCAGTTGCTCAGATTACTAGATATAAGCATGCAAAATTG